GAGACATCCGCTCGAGCTGAAATTTTACGTGTGATCAGGCATTGTCATAAATCTTTTTCCTGGAAAATTTAAGGAGTCATTATTATGTACGTTTAGATGATACAACCGGTAGGATACTTTTGCACGTTACTGTAACTTCACCCCAGTTATCGGAATTATATTCTATGCTATTAATCATAAAATAAAAGCTTCCCCGCTGACCAATTTTAAACTAACCTTTAGAGGTAATTCTTGAAGCTTTTGACATTTTTCCGAACCAGGTTTACATGAAGGTATGACAGCCGTGATAGCGTGATAGCTTGATGAAATATTTGCCTTAAATTTTCTTCGGGATCCAAGGCTCTTCATCCATTGCATGATAAACTACGGAAATGCTGTTATATGTTTCTGGTAATGCAACACGAAGAAAATCACAAGTAGAATCGTATAATAATAATAATGTGTTCATGTTGGTTATTTAGAAATATGCGTAATATTAAATTTGTTAGTATCTGAGATAACACAAGAAGCGAAATCGCTGAAAAGCGATAAGTAAGAATAAATTCGTATACCGGACGACAACAACAGTCCGTCATATTGTTACGACAAGCCGATCTATGACCAATTTAGTTCGCTCAAAGAGGTTTTTCTTGGTAACGTGATGACGGACTAGTATCTCAAATTCTGCTGATTTTACAGAAGAGCGACTTCCCGAACGTATTGTGTCGCTCGAACAACAAAAATAGCCATATCGTTACGTATTTGAGTAGCCGCCTTCATAATGCCAACAGCCTTCAACCAAGTTCGTGCTCGTGGAACGTTTGTGGAAGATTTTGAAGAGACATGACATTTGTATGCATTTATCTGCTGGTGATAAAGACTTAGTAAGTTTAAAATTATGGTGAAGAGATGTTAGTGAAGAGTACATACGGTAATGGTATTATCGTTTAAGTTAGTGATGGTTCCTGCCACTTCTATAACATCATCGGGAGAGAAAGGCGTTGTGGCAAGCCATGTGGGATTTTCGTTTGGACGCGAATGGGTTGATCAGCAAAGTTGAGGAATATACCGTTAGCTTTAACGTTAAGTAATTTTCCACCAAATTTGGTTTGTTCATCGACAGTGAGTACGTATGAGTGAAAGAGTTGACGATGTGTTGATGAGTATTTTGGGCAAAGAAGAGGTATACAGTCAAACCTCGATATAGTCAAGTCTCGATACAGTGAATTCTGCGCTATAGTAAAGAATTCCTCTGACACAAAAACAGTATTATTAAATTTTCCCTCGATATAGTGAAGTTGTATAAGTAAGTCTCGTTATTAGATATGGTCAAGTTTTTTCTCAAAGATTGTACCACCTGATGGTTTTTGACCAATCATAATACAAACACGTGTTGATTAAAAGTATTAAAGTGAGAGAGTGAAAGAATTTTAACAGCATGAAGCTGAAACAGAGATGCTACAAAGAGAAAGAAAAAAAAGCCAATTCAGAGAGAAGAAGTTTGTCCAGTGTCCAGAAAGCTGAAATATATTGTTTAAAAGAGCGAGGTGTTAGCTAAGTTACAATGCGAAGCAATTCGATATTTCCGAGACAGCCGTTTTTCAAAGATTGTGCGTGATAAGGTAAGATGGTTGTCACTTGATCTTAATACTAATAAGGCTATCATGAAGCGACAAAGAACTGGAAAGTCCTCAGTTAGAAGAGGCTGTTGCTCTTTGGATATCTCGAGCTGCTGAAGCATCGCAGGCGTTCAATTTCGCAAGTATTGCTTGGCAAAATGTAACTAGAGAAACAGTACGGGGTATTCTGCCAGATGGTTTCCTTCTGAACTTGTTGCAGTTGATGTTATCGGAGAACTTCAAGATCTTATTGGACGATTGCCTCTTGATCAACCAATGGATGCAGAAGAGTATGTGGTAATTGATGACAATGTAACTGCTCGTGAGATACCAACAGACGAAGAAATCGTTTCAATCGTAAAGAATTGTGAGTCAAATGAATCGGAGGATGGAGATTCGGAGACAGAGCCAGTATCCTATGCACAAGCTATTACGGCATCGTATCTTTTTTTGAACAACAACCAGATGGCAATTTTACTGTTGATAATTCTTTCGTCCGAGGTTTAAGCAAATTGAAAAAAAAAATTTTGTTTTCAAGAGAATTGCTTCGAGAAAACAGAGCGATTTGGATATGTTTGTTCACAAACATTGACTAATCAATATGAGAATTAATAAATTATGAAACCTTAAGATGTTACTACATGCGGAAAAAATTAAGAAAATCAAAGAAGGAATTGCTGTTTGTTTTTTTTTATAAAAAAAAAACAGGAGACATAACTCCGAACAGTCAAGTTGGTTCCTGAGAGTTAGGTTATTTAGGAGTTTTGCCAATAATTAATCCCGAAGTTATTTATTGGGTTGCCGATTAGCCACTGCCTTCATACTATTAATACAATTTCACGTGAATATGGCTCTTGATTACTACATTGGTTTAAAGTTGCCGAACTCAATATCATCTCTTTGTGTAGAAATCCACTTTCCTACAATATTCGTCTCGATAATTAATTATGAACTCTTGTTCCATTATTCACGTAATTGATCCGCGGACAATTTTGAACCAATACAAAATTGGGATTAAAGTATCGTGTATCATAACCAAACGCGTGACCGCTAACTTGTTTGCAGCTAAATTTCTAGTGTCGATTATTACCTGTTCCCCTCGACGAACTGATTGAAAACCCACCATCAAACACTAATCAGAAAGCAAGGCGGTCAACTCTACGCCAAAAGACTAAATGTGCCGCAGCATTTTGTTCGCGTAAAACCGGTAAAACAAAAGCCGTAAAACATAATTGAACGGTATGACACTTGCTACGTTAAACAACTTAGTATCAGTACATTCATACACTGTAAGTATTAGATTCGTCAGTAGAAATAACGTTTGAGTATTTATTATTAAGATTTGCAGTCGCAATATAGTGAAGATTTATGCCACTTATATATGAACTCTACTATATCGAAAATTCTCGATATAGTGAAGTTTCGATATAGTAAAGAAAAATCCCCGTCCCGTCGACTTGACTATATCGAGGTTTGACTGTATACAGATATATACACAAAAAAATGGCAAGAGCTCGGGTAATTTTTTATAATTAATAAGCGAGAGCCGTAATTCAATTTGTTATCATTGATATAAGTGATAAGCCTGAGTAATCAATGAGACAAAAACTTTTTGGTCATGGCGTAGTTTCAAAAAGAAAAAATGTACTAAACTGATAAATCAAAATTTTCGCTTGGCGAAGTCAATCAGTGAACGCCGCCCGCGATATTTATAATAATATAATGACAAAGTAACAGTTGTTCTCAAAATTAAATTGCGAACGTCCTTTTCTGCGGTCAAATGGCGTAAATGTCATTCGTCATTATACGGTAGTGGTAAAACGAATTAGTGAACATTTCGGGGTTCCTTTCCCCAATTTAGTGTGCTTCTACGCTTATTATTATGTTTGTTTGTAGGCGCTTTATTATTCTAATACTAACTAAACACACATTACATCATTATTCAATTTCCCCAAATAAACGATTAAACCATAATACGCAAATTGCAAGAACATAAAAAATTCAGTTCTATTGCTGCTTTTTGATCAAAATGTCTTATTGAAGGTCAATGGATTCAATGGATTCAGTGAATAACTGTGTTGGTAGTGCGAAAACATTAAGATTACAATGTGCGTTTCTTATCTTAGATCGGGCCCTTGAAAAAATATTTAAATAGTATAAAAACTGACTTCAATGAATTGTGTTATCTATTTCCTTATATAGGGTACGGGCCTCCTTCCTGCATTAACTTCCTGCATGGACTATATACTATTGGTGCGGTGAAAATATGCTTTGAGTTACTAAATACGTTAGTCTATTGTGCGACG